AAAAATAAAAAAGGATTACATAAGTTTCATAAACACAAAACGAAAACGTGCCTAATTTATACACGTGTCCCAAACGGACCTACTAATGAGTAAGGACCCCCTCGCTCCTCCTGTTCCTCCTCCTTAGTCCTTATGATCACCCACCACTCCAAACACCTCCAAAATCCAAACGCCCGCCGCCTCCTTTCACACGCTTCCCCTCTCTTTCCTCTCAGCCATGGCTTCCTCCGCCTTGTTCCACTCCTCTCTCTCCTCCCTCTCCCCTAATCTCCCCGCGTTTTACCAAAACCTCGCATCCAAACGCCCCCCTACCCCCTCACTCTCCGTATCCTGCACCTCCTCCACATTCGATCCCTCCACCGCATCAAACACCTCCTCGCCCCAGCCCCCTTCCAACAAGACCCGCCGCGCCGCCGACGAGAACATCCGCGACGAGGCCCGCCGCCACCGCTCCCCCCATAACTTCTCGGCCAAGTACATCCCGTTCAACTCGGGCTTCGACTCCCCCGAGTCCTACTCGCTCGACGAAATCGTCTACCGCAGCCAATCCGGCGGCCTCCTCGACGTCCAGCACGACATGGAAGCGTTGCGGAAGTTTGATGGCGCGTACTGGCGGAGGCTCTTCGACTCGCGCGTTGGGAAGACCACGTGGCCGTACGGCTCCGGGGTCTGGTCCAAGAAGGAGTGGGTCCTCCCTGAGATCGACGACGACGACATCGTTTCGGCGTTCGAGGGGAACTCCAACCTCTTCTGGGCGGAGCGTTTCGGAAAACAGTTTATGGGCATGAACGATCTCTGGGTCAAGCACTGCGGCATCAGCCACACCGGCAGCTTCAAGGACCTCGGCATGACGGTACTAATCAGCCAGGTCAACCGGCTCAGGAAGCTCAAACGACCCGTCATCGGAGTTGGCTGCGCCTCCACTGGCGACACGTCGGCTGCTCTCTCCGCCTATTGCGCATCCGCAGGTATTCCCTCGATTGTTTTCTTACCGGCGAACAAAATTTCAATGGCGCAATTGGTCCAGCCGATCGCGAACGGCGCGTTTGTGCTGAGCATCGACACCGACTTCGACGGCTGCATGAAGCTAATCAGAGAAATCACGGCCGAATTGCCAATTTACTTGGCGAATTCGCTGAATAGTTTGAGGCTGGAGGGGCAGAAGACAGCGGCGATTGAAATTTTGCAGCAGTTCGATTGGGAGGTGCCCGATTGGGTCATTGTTCCGGGAGGCAATCTCGGCAACATATATGCATTTTACAAAGGGTTCAAAATGTGCCAGGAATTGGGGTTAGTGGATCGAATTCCGCGGATGGTTTGTGCTCAGGCCGCGAATGCGAACCCGCTTTACTTGTATTACAAGTCAGGGTGGAAGGATTTCAAGCCGGTGAAGGCGAATTCGACATTCGCCTCTGCTATACAGATTGGGGACCCTGTTTCCATAGACAGAGCCGTGTATGCTCTGAAGAATTGCGATGGGATCGTGGAGGAAGCCAGTGAGGAGGAGCTGATGGACGCAATGGCGAAAGCCGACTCCTCAGGGATGTTTATCTGCCCTCACACCGGCGTTGCCCTAACCGCATTGGATAAGCTCAGGAAGAGTGGTGTCATTGGAGCCGGTGATCGGACTGTGGTGGTCAGTACTGCTCACGGTCTGAAGTTTACTCAGGCGAAAGTTGACTATCACTCGAAGGCCATCCCGGACATGGCTTGCCGGTTCGCTAACCCGCCCACGGAGGTGAAGGCGGAATTCGGGGCGGTGATGGATGTGCTCAAGGATTATTTGTTGAACAAGGCTCCAAAGGAATAAGTGAGAGACGAGGGTTTTAGCAAGTTTTTTGTATTAATGTAACGAAGTATGCCTTTTCGCTGTTGATGCTCGGATTTCAACAGTTTGCTTTTTGGTTAATCCACATAAGTAATTTTGAAATTTCGAACCAAGAAGCAACCACAATCAAACCAAATTTAATTCTAAGGCTTCACCAATTCGACGGTAAAAGATCCGTCGAATCGGTATGTGCATGCATTCCCTAGACCAACACTAGTTTCTTGTATTACACACAGAACATCAGAACAGGGTGTCAAACAAACCGATTACAAGCGCACGGTCCTGGTAAATTTCATTTCTCCCCGAGCCAGCTACTTCAAGAGTAGTCGTAAAGCGATATACTCTTGTCATCGGACACACTAGCAAGTCTACCAGGCATTCCTCCTGGTCGAAACGCCACTCCCCATACCTGGTCAGTGTGGTTGCTCATTGTCTGCACAGCTCCCCTCATGCTGATATCCCACAGCCTCACAGTTCTATCACTCGACCCCTGTTGCAACAGCTGCCCCATCACTGCTCACATCCACACTCAGGACCCAGCCTGCGTGACCTGACATAGCCCCAACCAAGGTTTTACCCTCAGCATCATACATGTGCACATGGGCATCATCCGAGCCTGTGAAGAGCAACCGGGGCTCAACGGGAGAAAACACGAGAGACCTCACTGGCATGAAGTGGCCTTCCAGGTGGTGCAGGAACTTGGCACGATCTGTATCAAAAACAGAAACAGTTCCATCCATCGACCCACAAGCAATGCGTCTCCCATCAGGACTCCAGGCAACCGATAGCACAAACTTCTTGCTGCTGCTTTTGTCAGTTGGCTTGGTTCCTTCGGGGCGAGGAATCGACAATGTGGCTACTATATTCCATGTGGCAGTGTCCCAAACTTTGACGGATGCACTTCCCCCACCTGCCACAGCTAGCATGGTACCCTGATCAAGAGCCACAAGTTAGCATCAATTTGAATAGGCTTTTTAGCTAAAATGTTCCTGAGATTGCATAACTCATCACTTTGGTCCCTAAGATTTGAAATCGATAGAATTGGTCCTTGAATTGGTTCACAATCAATCATTTTGGTCGTTCCATATAAAATCTCCATTAAATAAGGACAAAATGACAAATCCAAAAAGTCATTTGAATATAACCAAAAGGGTTTGCTTAATACTTCAATTCAGCGCCTCCAAACTTAATTTAGAAAAAAAATAAAAGATGGTTCTCAATTTGGTCCACTTTGAATATCAGTCTAAGAATGAAGAACTAAAAGAGATCAACAACTTCTCGGGAAGAACTTTCCTGGAACGCTGATACCACCTTGGTGGTATCCAAGCCAATCACGCAATGTCAGGTAAGAGATTATCCCCAAAGTCAATCACACAATGTCACGTCGGAAATTTAAGAAGCATGGCATTATAAAGACGGGTGACGGAGTGTGATTGCCTTGAGATACCGACACATCCCGCGTAGGTAAGTTTGTCTCCAATTGGCATCTCTGACACTATTAGTAAAGCATCCAAACAAAATACACCATATTCTAAATCCCCAATTCTAATTTTAGCATAATTTCCCAAGTAAATAAAAAAACAAAGCAGAATTAAATGCATAGATACAAAAACAAGTAAACCAACATTTAAACACAAAATTCACTCAGAAAATAAAATCCAGAATTTCCAACATAGCAAAAATGTACCTGGGGATTGAATCGTAATTGCCACACTTCAGACGGCGGGGCTTCGAGACTGGCCACGGTGTTGTTGGTGTCAACATCAAAGATCCTGACGAAGCTATCGAGCGAGGCCGAGGCGGCAATGCGGCCGGAGGGGTGAGCCGCCACCGAGGCCACGCCGAGACAGTGGCCGGTCATTTTGCCCCGGTTAACCAGCTCGTCCGGTTGCCACAGCCTCACGGTCTCGTCCAGCGACCCGGTTAGCAGCAAAGCAGGTCGGGAATCGGTGGCCGGGACCCACGTCACCGCCCATACCGACTCGTCGTGCGCGTCGTCGACTGATTTCAGTCCGGCGAGCTTCATTGGCGATTGATTTTGTTGAAACGACAAGAACCCTAGTTTGCTTGCTTCGTCACTCTTTTCAGTCTTCGATTTTCTTTTTCCGGGAGTTTATTGGGTTTTATGTTTGGGTTAAGATTTTAGTTGGTGTTGAGATTGGGCCTTACCGAAATTTTCGGACCGTAATTGAGTGGGTTTGTTTACGTATTTGTTTATTTGAGCCCATCGTCAGGTTCGTTCAAGACTGATTCGAAGTAAGTACTTTTGCTCGGAAGGGCTTTTCTATAAGTGCTTTAGTTCGTTAATCAATAGAAAAGACTGGTTCATCTTTCCCTTTCATAATATAGAATAATGATATGCATTTGGGGTTCGAAACTTCATTATTCCCTAAATTAATGTAATTGTTTCGAACTCTCTCGCCTCCTCTTACAATAATAAAAAAAAATTGTTAAATCTGCCATAACAATCATTGCTATATCTGCAATGTAATAAGAAATAGGATGAGATGATTGTATACAACTTGTTACATGTATGTTTAGGGAAACAAAATATTGTACTGAATTCATTTCATGCAAATTTCTCGTCATACAAACATGTAAAAAAGATTGCACACGAAAACAAAATTAGATCAAACTTGAAAACCAATATGCATGTAACATTGTACTTTAATACAAAATGGCTCTAGGAGGTGAACAAAAACACATTTAGATCCCCCAATCCATACAAATAGTGCGAGCTCCAAGAGGTGAGGAAAAAATAAAGCCACTCAGAACCCATTGTGTCCTTCTATACACACACAGATCATCAAAACACAATGAACCCAGAATCCAATTCACATCACTCGGTATCTACATAAGAGAGATTCTGAAGTGTAACCGGAAATATAATCCCGCCGACTCCTATATCTCTAGTCACGTATACCTCCGATAGATCTTCAATATAACCGGGAGTATATTTCCCCTCTTCTTATATCTCTCTTCACGTATATCACTGATTGTATGCAAGAATATTAGCGCAGAAGGTGCTCCAAAAGACGAAAAAAAAACCACATTCAGAGCCCTACTGCCTTCCATCTTTTCTTTGCCAGTGCGTACCATAATTCTAAATCAAAGTGTTAAGATTGAAGGTGAATGTGAAAGTAGAAAATGGTAAAAAACCAGTGCATGCAGATTAGGGCATCTTCATTTTCTGCCTCATTGAGTTCATCTTCTCAAGCCTCCACTCATCTTTCAGCCTAGCAATGAAGTTATCAGCTTTCGTATTAACATCTGGGCTAGGGCAGAACACGGAGGATCCGCTGCCGCCGTCCATCGCGTTGACTTTACTCTGTACTTCGGACTTTGACTTCTTGTCTTCTTCCTTACGTGGAGATGCATAAACGTCGTCAACGTCCTCCAGTTCAGGAGATCCACAGCGCGAGCTCTGCGCGCTTTGTATCTTAACAAAATCCCCGCGCACAAAAAACTTCAGCTCTGGCGTTTTAAACGATGGAGGTGGCGCAGGCGCCACCGGAATTAACGGACTCTGGCAGCCGCTATTCACTTTCCCATCGTATAAATAACTGTTCGCCTTTGTTGGCAACGGCGGCCGGCCACTGGAGGGGGAGTGTCGCGGCCGGGAAGTAGCCGGAGGCGGTTGTTTCGGCGGAGTTGGTGGTGCCAGCGGGAAACTAGTATTCCAACTCTTGTGTTTTCGCAATGCCGGCTGCGGTGGCGGTGGTGGCGGTGGCGGAGTCGGAGGCGTCAAGACGGAGTGAACTTTCTTAGTTTTGCTCATTCCCTTTTTGAATAGATTGTGAAAAACAGAATGTGGCGGCGGCGGAGGTGGCGGTGGAGGAGGTGGCGATGGGTGGCGGTGGAGGAGGTGGCGATGGTGGCTGTCTTGTGAAAAAATATTCCCCTTCTCTGTCTTGTTGTTCGTGTTCAGGCAGAGAAGCAGCGGTTTCGTAAATGTTTCTGGTACCGGTGACCTTGTGCTGCTTCTTCCTCTTTCTCTGGTTAGACAGAACCGAAGCCCAAACCATCGCTATCTCCTTCTTCACATTGCTCTTTCTACGCTTCGACTCTGATCTAATCCGAATTGGTGACGGCGGCGCGACCGGACGTGGCGGCGTCGGTGGCGGAGTTCGAACTTTCTCCAACTCTTCAGCCTCATTAATAACATTTTTATTAACTACTTTCTCTGTCTTTTGATCTCTCCGTCCAACAGTCTGATACGTCCTTCTCGGTTTCGGATTACGGGGCGGAGGAGGTGGCGGAGGTGGTGGTGTCGAAGGCTTGGATGGCAGCGGAGGAGAAGAGTGAAGCACAAAAGTATCCACCGGAATCTCCTTAATTACATCAGAGTACTCCTTGGGTCGCCGTTGGTGTGAAACTGGCGGGACACGACGGTAATCACCAATTTCGAAGTCGTCGAAAAAGTGAAACTGCGACTTGTTGTGATCCCGAGTTTCCCACACCGAGTCCTGCCCGAGTGGCCTTAGATCCGGGTAGGAACTGCTGCTCCTACTCAACCGGTCGCCGCCGGATTCAGGCGTCCTCCTATCTGAATATCCAAACCATTGTTGCGGAAGTAGGGATGCAGCTGATTCCGATTCCGATATGTTGGCTCTGTTTGTACGAATGTTGTCCAAAGGGTGCGGAATATTAGTGTCGGGAATGCGATCTTCTTCAGAGGATGATGCGTCGTCGTTTAGCTTGGCGAAAACGCCGCATAGGATTGCGAAAATGACGAGAAGCACGTTGAGGGAGTCCCAACTTTTCTTGACGGAAATGGTGGGGCGGAGGAGTTGAGAGGTGAGGGAGAGGAATTGAGGGATGGCGTAAAAAAGGATGATGGAGATGATAATGGGGAACAGGATGATGAGCAACGGTGAACTTAGAAGTGGCGATGGTGAGCGGCGGGGAGGCATGGAGGAGGAGGAGGAGGCGGTGGAGGTGGTGGTGGTGATGGTGAGTTGGGACAAGTAGGTGGGGGGTGGTGATTTTGGTGGGTCTTTAGGCTTTGTTTACTTGCATTGCATTGCTTTTGACGAGGGAGGCAGATTCTCTCCCTCCCATTTCCCGTGCCCTCCTGTTTTGTGTGGTCACGGTTCAGTCACGTTAATATTTTATATTGTTTTTTTTTATAGAGATAATAAGACAAAAATAAATAGTAATATAAAATGTTGATGTGGTTTAACTATGGCCACACAAACAAGAGGGCACAAGAAGTGTGAAGGCAGAGAATCTGTCTCCTTTGATGAGTTGGGATTTTTGCTAACAGAGATACTATGCCGTTAGAAAATGAAATTAATAATGCACGTTCCTTAATTTCTTATTAATAAAAAACCATTGAGTTACATCAAACATAGTACGAAAATATTTTGAGTTACATCAAACATGATATGTGATAAAAGAGATACAAAAAGTATGCAATTGAAGATAATTAAGAACATTTTAAACGTCTAACTCATTACCTGGCTCTTATTTGAAACTAAGATAGCTAAGAACCTCTCAAGCGCACAACTCATTACTTCACTCTCTTGAGTTACTTGCACTAAATATCTTCTATTGGTATTAAATTTGGTCAATGATAGGACATTATGTTGACCAAGAATCGACGTGTTACATGCATTGATCTAAGCTATTAATCAAGTAGATTTACTTATGTAGTCATGATGTATTACAAAATAATTATCTTTTATAACCAAGTTACGCGCTTGTTTGGTTAAATGATAAAGATAAGATTGATATGAAGATCTATAATCAAATAGAATGAAAACGAAACTATAAATGTGAGTTATGAGGGTGTACGTTAGATTGAAACATTTGGATTAATACAAAACTTAATCACGCTTAATGCATGACACATAACTAGTTTTTACAATTGTATGGTAGTGTGTATCACTCAACAATAGTTGTTTGCTAACAACTAATAGTCTATTGACAAATGGCAACGTTGAGTTGATAAGATTCATTTTCTATGCTAGATCAAAACTTAGGTTCGAATTTCTTTGCTGACAATCTCTTATCCAAATTAATAATCTGATCTGCCAATTCCTCAAAATCAAAATCAAAATAAATTAAAACTGATTTAAAAAAGAAAGAAAGATAACAATATTAATTTGACGTATTTCTAAGGCAAGCAAGTTGTAGGTGGAGTCCATAAGACAGATCAGTAGAGGACGTGTATGTACGAGTCAACCAATTTTCTTCTTCTCTTCTCTCCTTGTTTGAATGATGGGAGCGTGGTTGCAATCATTGAAATTATACCCTTTGGCTTTTACCATGAAATTACCAAAACCATGCCTCTTGGGTGACAATCTGTCAAAAGAAAAATTCTTGAGAGAATCTGCTGTTTTATAGGCGGTTGTAGGGTTTACGTAAAGCTATGCATCGTGATGAGAGATAAAGACATGTAAGTGTGTTGTGATGTATCTTTTTCTGTATTTACCTCTGATCACGTGACTTGAATTTTTGATTGCATGAGATAGACAAACAAAAAGGCACCAAACGAACCTCTCCCTAATCTCTCCCTTTTTACTTTTCCTTAACAATCCATTATTTGGTAATACAGCTTTTAACGTGGCCAGTTTTCCTGCATATTTTTCTCTAACTATGTTGGTTGCAGACTGTTTTCTAATTATGGCTTTCCATGTGTGGAAAAATTGACTTGGATAAGTAATAAGCAGAAGCTGTGCTGTGGGAAAAAAGCTATGATTCGAGTCCTAGTGCTTTTAGCTTATCCATGTCCCACGCATGTCCTTAGATAGAGAGGTCACAGCTCCCATGGCTTGCAAGCAACTTTTTTAAACAGCAGAAAGGTACAGCTCCCATGGCCACCACGACCAATTGTCGTCTAAATCTCCCCAAAGGGAGGGCTATGGCTACTAGGTAGCGTTTAGGGACGCCCTTTTCTTTTTTCGAACTTTTTCTTTATATTTTTCTCCATGTGAATATTGGGGAGATCTCCATTGTTTTAAGTCTTGAGTTTTTACTTAATTAGCAAAAGTAAGTGATTACCGATCTCGATCTCTCCTTTTTCATATGATATTTTCTTGGTTTCTAAATTGAATAAATTAAAAGACAGTTGAGATAAAGAAAAAAATGAGAGCCATTTTGAAGTACATAATTTCTTGCTTCTCTCCAAATTTAACACAATATAAACTCCATGCTAATACAATTTGATTGACGGCATGGATTCGAACTCTGTCAGTGGTTAATCTAACATCTAATATAACAAAATATATTGTTTGAAAAAAAAAAAAATACAAATTGATACTAGTAATTGGTGGATATTTTATCATGCAAATATTTAAGAGAGCGCTAAGTGCTTAAAAGTTCAACAAAATCATTGCTAAAACCAAAATTTCACTACTTTTTGGGATTTTGGAACCAACTTTGGATGGAAAGTTGTATTTTTAATAATAATAAATAAAAAAAACTATGATACAAGAATGAAGCGACCCAACTTGATGTAAATTATCAAAAGAACACTCCTGAAAAAAATGGACTTTTGGAGAAGAAAAAAAAAAGAAGAGTTAATGCAAGAATATAACCATTAATTTTAATAGGGATGAATTATAGTTTTTTTTTTCCTAATTACTATGTGTTAGTAGTTAATTGGAGTTGAGTTGGGAGCTAATTTCTACTAAAAGGTTCCTTGAAAATTAGCTCCAATTATTTTTTCTAATTTACATATATCAATGGTCAAGAATCCTCGCTTACTCCTAGCACGTCTCAAAGTATTACATATATTTAAAGCAGGAATGGACATAGCCAAGTTACATATACCAGAGTGTTCGTTTCTATGCTCAGTAGTTTAAATTTCTATGCTCAGTAGTTTAAATTAGCTTAGAATATCGCTCTGATAATAATATAAAAAAGAGTGGTACTATCTGTACACCCAACATCTCTCAATTTATAGCCGTTGGATCAATTAAATTGAAGATAATCAATGAAAAAAAAAAGAGCAAGTAGAATGGGAGCGAAAACTAAACCTTCCTGTTTCGGCCTAATTAACAAGTGTGTATGAAAGATAAAAATGATGTTTGAATAGCATTGCTATTATAAAAAAAAAGTGTTGTCCAGAAAACTATGCAGCAGAATGGGCTTAAATTGAGATAGACATAGTTCAAATTTTGGGCCTCCAATTATCCTTCACATGTGGGCCGAAACATGTCGCCAATCATGTAAAATGAAACGGAGCGGATCGCAGTCGTTTTGGTATTGAAAACTTCTAACCCAAAACCCTAATTCTAAATCCTCCTGCAAATGCCTTAAACCCTCCGGAACTTGGATCACCTCTTCGGTCACCTGGTCGTAGTCTCGTAGAGCTTTCTCTCTCTTCTGGATTTGAGCTTGGGTTTGTTGCATACAGCTGAATCAGAGAGAGATGGTGTGGTTTCAGTGCGAGGATTGTGGGGACAACCTTAAGAAACCCAAGGTTCTGGGTCACTTCAAGTGCTGCTCTGCTCGAAAGGTCTCTACTTTCCTAATCCCAAGACTGTTTGGTTGCCAAGAAAATTTGGGCTTTTATTAAGTTTTGATCTTTTGACTTATTGGGTTGCTAATATTGTCGCTGTTGTTGCTGTTCATGTTTCAGTTTTCGTGCATTGATTGCGGAGAGACATTTGGAAGAGAAACCGTTCAGGGTCACACACAATGTATGACTGAGGCGGTGAGTGTTCATTGTTTGGATTATGAATCGAACGGTTTCGATTAGAAAATATTTTGAATTGAAGGGTTTGGATTTGAAAATTTAATGAATGGGGTAAAAGGGGGTGATATTATTTTGCCGGAACTTGTTATGGATTATAATTTTGCCGGGATGTAGAGTTGATTCCTTTGTTTTTGTTTTCAGGAAAAATACGGTCCCAAGGGCGGACAAGGGAAACCTTTGAATGGTGGGGGAGCCAAGCCCAACAAGGATGGAAAGCAGCAACCCGATTTTGATATTACTGTCGGGTTGACTAAGCGATTTCCATGGTTTTGTAGGTATGTTCATCTCATCTTATTTTGTTGGTGATCTTTTATTCGCATGTTTATTTATATTTCGTATCAAATGATTGCCGTGAACTTAAGAATTTCCCATAGCGATGCATAATGCATTTTATGTTTTTTTGTTAAATTTCTATATGCATTCATGCTAGCGCTGCCCTTTGAAAGTGATGGTTTCAAATTGCTGAATTAGTTTGTTTTGAACTTTTGAGTAAATGCATTGTCTGTTGTCGACATGAAACATGGAAGAGAGTCAGAGAAGAAAAAGATGTAAATTGACATTGTGATCTGATAGTTTGCTGGATATATCTGTGTACTTTCAGTCTTTGCAATACTAAAGCTACCAGTGAGCAGACCCTCCTGCTGCATGCTGATGGAAAGAAGCACAGGGCAAAAGCCCGAGCTATCCATGCTGCAAAGCAACAACCTAAGCAGCCGGAAGAATCTGTTCCGGATACAAAACCTCCACCCGAGGACACGCTAAAGGGTGAAGTTCTTGAGAATAAACAAATAGAGGAACCTAAGTCGCATGATGCGTCTAGGGTCAATCCCAAGCATAAAATTTCCGAAGCAGAGAATGATGCCTTACTGAAAAATAAAAAGAGAAAGCTTGACGCATCCAAGAACGATGAATCGACAAAGAAGACTAAGGATAGTACATCATATGAAGTAGGAAACTGGCAAAGTGGCTCAGAGTGGGAAGAAAGAAGCAAATGGGAAAGAGGGAGAACTCACTACGAATATAAAGTGGAAGAAGTTGATTACATCAACCCTAAAATCGGTATGAAATCTAAATAATCGTTTCTTGCTTTACCCTAAAATTGTGCAATGCATCAGGCCACTCTCAAACAGAGAAAAAGATAGTAATATTCTCCTTTATATACAGATTAGTGAAATGAACACTATCATAAGAAAAGATTCACTTTTATTTATTATGCATTTGCTTTACGCCATTGCCAGTTATTTGATATAAACTCAATCGGCTTTTTATATGCATCGTGCAGAATGATGGAGTCCTGAAGATGAGGAAATTGAAAAAACTTGTGATGAAGGCTCTTGAAGAATCCGGAGTAACAGATGACGAAACCAAACTGAGTAATATGTTTGAGCACAAGGTTTGCGGCCTATCCAATGTTTATTTATTCCTTTTTATTCATTATATGCAAACTAGTAGTATCAATTGGTCATCAGACTCACCTGTTTACATTATTTTTGACGATACTGATTCTTTGGTCCCAGATCAATTCAAGTTCCAAATTTAGAGTCGAGAACAAGTATGTTCATTTGGCAGCCAAGGATTGAGGTACGGTCTGTTTGAACTGGCGTGTGATTGGGGGATTTCAGCTAGTTTCTTCTCCTTTGAAGCCCTTTCAAGCCGTGGTTTATCCCCTCGTTTGAATTCAAATTCGAATGCAGAGTTACAAATCTAGGACACGGAGGAGCTTAGGTTATATCCACATTTCTCATGTCATTTCTTCTGTTTTAAAAGTTTTCAGAAGAAATATCGTTGTCATTAATTCTTCAATTCTCTATGAATCAGACATTCTTCATTTGTTTTATGTGTTTGGAGAGAAGCTTAATCTAAAACTTCATGTTCACGAACAAGGTCATAAAAATAACAAGAAGATGGAGCAACTAAAAACACGAAAACATGAAAAAGCATTACTGGTTCTATGTTTTCAGGCAACCGGCGATGGTAATTCCGATGGGTTTGCAAATGGAAGCACTTACAGTCTACAAAGCCGATGATTCTGGTATGGGACTGACCGGCAATCATCTCCACCCCGGTCATCGGATCATAAGACTTTACCTTACAAAGTCCAGTGTTAATGACGTTTCCCGTGTTATTAGTCACTCATAACTGATGACAAGTAAGTCTCAGAAGCTGCTTGCAAGCACGGCTAGACATGTCAACGGATCGGATTTTGATCCAAATTCGATATAACGTAGTGGATAGTGTTGTAACGAGGGCTCAGGGCCTTGCTTAATTACAAGTTCACGCTACAAGGCTTGTTAATTTTCTGTCATTTTAGTGAACCACGGTGGTGGAAAGCCCGTAAAAAGCTCGTACATTAGCTGATATTATATTCTGGTTGGGCAACTGAAATGCGTTCAGGGATTAAAGATCACACAGCTCTGTATTTCACCTCTATAAAATTCTGTATAATTACAATGTTTACACATATACTCGTCTTGCCTCATTTGTTCATACAAATATGAAAATACGAAAACAGTAGCTCATCATCATCCAGAGCTTGTACTCTAGACGTCTGAAGAATTGTTTGGGAAAAGTCCAGGTTCTTTTCATCTGTCCTTTCCTTTTTTCGTTTACATCCCTTTCAACCGGAATAAAAAAAAAACATCAGTATTTGTGTTCTTACGGTCCCTTCCAATCCCACAATGATTTCTTCACGCTTGTGAAGAAGTTGCTAGCGCCTCCAATTGAGCAAATCTAGAACATCCGACACAATGCTATGATCAACAGCACGACAGAACAAACTAGTGTCTGCAACAATTGGATAATTATGCCAATTAATCCTCTGATACATGGTTGAGGATGTAAACTTTAAACTGCAGAAACATGCTAGAATGGAAACACATAATCGAGAGAGAGAGATATACAGCAATTGCAGAGGCGGCTAGTCCTGCTCGCTCCCTAGGATCCTTCCGATAGTAATTTCCAAAATAGAGGACTGTGGCATAGTACCACATTAATGGGAAGACGAAGCCTAAAAGAAAACTGCAGTGCAAGAAACAGGAATGAGACAAGGAATAATAAAAACTGAGGGATAGAGGAATTAAAGATACTCACGAAAACCATCCTATCCCGCAGCCAAAGCAGGGAAGCTGTTTCTCGTACATCCCTGATGGAAAGTCATCTGCGTCTCTAATTAAGGTGTATTTTCCCTTTTCAGGATCCGCAGCTTCTGTTGCTTGCCCTACCATGACCATAAGACCTCTCACTTGTCTGGATAAACAGTTGATATGAAAGATCCAGTTGCTATAAAGATCTTGTTTATCGACAGAAAATAGAAATTATATACATCCCGGATCAGATTCATGACATTTTTAAATTACTACTGCATCCCAGCCCAATGTTTAATCAGGGAGTATATTAACACAATCATCAATTCTAGCATGCCGATACATTCTCCCGCTAATAGGTCTTAAACAAGCTGATTGGTGCTGGAAGTAGATACGACAAGAGGCATTCCATTTTAAGTACTAAGTTAAAAAGCTATCTAAACAACTAACAATCATGGATGGAAACTGTGCATGAATGACAAAAAAACACAATTTGATAGAACAAACACATTCCATAGTCCATGCGAGGAAGATTGATACTTGTCACAGATAATTGTAAAAGCACTTATAAGTTGCGAAACCCAAACAGGATTTGCTAAAGAAAATGTCCAAACAAGATCCTACCTTTAAATATTGTACTTAATCGAGCTGATGGTCTCAAAAGTTCAAGATGCTTTTCAGATGATGATCTCACCAGCTCAAGGTCGTTTCTCAAACCCTCTCCCGAAGCATCTGCAACACCAATAAATCTTGTATCAGAGTAAGGAAGTAGTAAAATCATGGCTGGTCATGCTAACTTAATCGTTATAGTTCTGAACAAGTGAATATATAGGCATAATTTATTATATACAAAAAAGATTAAGCCCGAGTATTCAAGAGATGTTTGAGTACTTTGATCCATGAGTCCTACAGCAGAATTGCAGATGAATACGAGGGGCCAAATCCTGACTTCTGTTACCACACCTTAATATACCTGCTCCACAAAATTAGAATTTCAGTTCAGCTCCAATTTATCCAGGATTTTTTTTTCTTTTGTTCATGATCTTTGAGAAAACATTTATCTTTACTTGCTCGCATATCAAACATAAAACTTGAACTAAAGCTTGCAACTGCTTGGAGCTAAACAAGCCCTCCCCTTACTATGGTTAAAAATCATTCAGAAAGCACCTTTCTCATGGCAAGCAAATTCATTCCTGACAAATTAAAGCATACTACGGGAATTGGGATCATTATCTTAAACCGGAACTGAACACAAGCAATTGATTGTAGCTAAACAAGCACTCCCCTTACTATGGTTAAAGAAGATTCACAAATCACCTTTCTCGGGTCATGCAAATTCATTCAGTACAAAATTAAAGTATACTCCGGGATCATTCACTGATTTGGTATTGCTATGCTTTAAAAAAAAAAAAAAAAAAAAAAAATTGCTTCTGCTGTGCTGTGAGAATAAGCTCATTTTTGCTGCTTCACATTTTCAGCCTTTTTCTTTCACCCAAAACTGAACACTGGGGTGGATTGGACCCAGCAACATTTTGCTATTCTCCAGCTCAGGTGGAAATACAACACAGGTTTTACATGGTACTATGATGGACGACTACTTGGGGCAACAAAACCTTAGTTCTTTTGAGTTGCGTCCTAAAAAATTTCATTAACCATTCGCTCGCATCTAATTATCTATGCATGTGCTGCAAAACCTTCCACAAAAATTCTAAATCGTCCCAATTCAGCTCATACACCTTTGAATTAAGAAATCCGAAATTCAAGCAAACACAATCATGTCAAGACAAATTATTGAAAACCCATCAAGCACTAACATCAAGTTTTGTAAAAGTTTTAAACTTTATGCAAATCCCAGCAAACCCAGAAGAGAAAAACAGTTCAAACAAACCAATCATAAAAATTGAAAGAAAATGTGCAGATAGAAAGCTGGAAGAGGAGAAGGAACTTGCCCAATGATTTGCAGGAACTGGGGAGCAAAATTCCGATGAAATTTCTCCTGCACAGATCAAAATTTGAGAGGGGCACTTTGCGTATTTGAGAGAGAGGTAGGTCTTGTACTGTCTTACGGGTCAAGGAAGGCTCCCTACAGTGCAGAAAAATTGACTCCACCAGTCTGTTGTCTTTTAAAATTATAAAATACAATTTACATACTTATCAAGTTATAAATAAATTATTTATATTCTTTATTTTTTTTAATTTTTTCAACTATTTATTTATTTATTTTAATTGTTTTGGTTTGTATTAATAATATTATTTTGTTTGTAATAGTTGCTAAAATTATTTTAAGAATGGTTGGTAGAGGAATCAACGATTTTGATTGGATAATAGATAAAAAGACATCTAAGCCCAGTGTTTGACTCTCAATTATCTGTGAAACTACGCAATTTGATTGGGTGGGGGATTTTGGGCTTTAGAGCGCCTACGGTTGACATGTCGTTTTCCATTTTTTATTTTATTTTCCGGTTTAAATATCGCCGCCTTGTGCCGGCAAAATAATTAGAAATAAATTATGCCTTTAATCAAGATTTTTTTATCCGACCAAGAAAAGAGTTTTTTCTACTATTCTATATTATCTTTAAATTTTAAATTTCAATTTATATAAAATACTAGGTTGGATGCTTAGTGAAGTCCAAGTTTAGAAATAACGATTTAAACAAGAATAATGTTAGCTTGACTAAATTTATAGATTAAATTTGTAAATTAAATCATGCATCATCAATAAAAAAATAAGCACGTTAATCAACATTTAAGTAATAATTTAATCATCAACTTTCATGTCAACTTGTTTACAAAATTTATAAAATTGCACCTTAACCTTTTCATTAAAACTTCAAAAAATGTGTGTGCATACTTTATTCATATTTTTGTGTGTGTGTGTGTGTATATATATATATATTCACTATTCTATGTACAGTAATCTCTTGTGAAATGTGATGGTGAGATTTATATTTCTGATCAATATATAAGTTAGTAATATACCCAAGAATGTAATGCAACAAACATTTTCTAATTTACGTTATCATTGCAAATATGAGTTGTATATCTGTTGATTATATAAATGGATGATAATTTCTTGTGAATTGTGATGGTAAGACGTACATTTTGGTCTATATATGAATAACGCTCCAAGAATATGATACAACCAACATTTACTACTTTATAATTTTCTTGTTTTTATAATTTTATTGCTTTCTAATATCAATTTTTATTTTTTTAACTAAATGGAATTAGTGCATCCATATTATCAACGTGGTTAAAAGGCACACACCATATTAACACATCAACATGGGATCCACGGTCCACCTTTATATGTATTGTTAATACTATTCTGAAAAGCATTCTAGGCGGGATCTAAGCGCTAGGCAGAGATCGAACGCTATGGTTAGGGTCTAGACGTTTAGAAAATTGGTTAACTTTTTAGGTAGCAATTAGGCAGCTGCCTAGGTGGTCTAGATGGCTCTAGGCGGTTCAAATTTTTTTCATTTTTTAATCTTTTTATGTAAAGGCTTGAAGATAGTTCTCTTGTAACATAACTTTGAATACATAATTCATTTTTTTCTATTCAATCAATTGTAGCTACTTATGTTTTTATTGTTATACTAATATATTTAAACTATATATTAATGAAACCCTCTTTGTCAATCAAAAGAGGGTGAAAAGACAATTTTATCTTCTATCACAACAAAAAAGTTAAGGATAGTAACGTAATTTCACAAAAAAATTTCTATTTTTTGTTTAAGTATCAACTACGAGTGATTTTATCATCTCTAATTAAAATTTAAAAAAAAAAACCTCTCTTCCTCTATCCACTTCCATGTTCTCTTTCACTCTCTTCCTTTCTCCTTCAGTTTTAAAAACAAAAGTAAAAAAATTTCACACATACTTTGTATGTGGGCATATACTAATTTAATTTTTTTTAAAAGGGGCCTAGGCCCCTAAGCATTAAGTTTTTGCCCACCCCCTAAGCATTAAGTTTTTGCCTGATGCCTGACTAGCGCCTAACGCTTTTTAGAACTTTGATTACTACCCAAAACAAGTCACATGATGATTAATTGTGGGTTTCCTTTGTTTTGTGACCCAAATTGTAATCAAGATTACATTATGGTTGCATGACACTCCAACAACTTTCCCAATGTAGAACAAGAACATTCTAGAGCAGTAAACCTGAATCAACGGGAAGAAGTAGAGGGAGAGACATCTGGTTTGGCTTGGTGATTAGCTTGCTCAACAAATTAAAGGATGATTAATAATCTAACAATAATATTTTGGTTGTTAAATGAATCATTATCTTCTAAACTTCTCAACCGCTAATTAACTTTTAATTTATGATTAATATGCAAATTTCCTTAATTAATTAACTTTCATCATCCAAAGCAAAGGGGATATGGGGTTATACATCTTTTCAAGTTACTTGGCTTGCAAGAATTGATGAATATTGAGTTTTTCTTAATTAGGTTAACTATTCATCATATTTTTGAGTTTCAATGATCACTGATTGAACTTGCAAGTTGGTGTGATTTGACTGTAAATATCTAATCTCAAAGGACCAATCTATAAACTTGTTAAATATAGAGGCATAAATCAAATCTTTTCTTTGCCTTAAACACCACGAGATGGTCCAGTGATTGGGAACGAATTTCAAGTATGTATTTCACACGACACGTCTTACGTTCGATTCCTGACGTTGGTGAATCACACGAGAGTGGCCAATGGAAGACTGAAATGTCTTCGTGAGCCTTCTCGGTCCTCGCGAAAGTGGACTAAACGAGCTGATCCCCTTTAAAAAAAAAAAAAATCTTATAATTACCTTGTCAATCAAATTTACTCTCATTTATCACTTGAACTAAAACTTATTTTCGAACCTTATCGGTTATCATTCTGCGCACTTCTCCATCTGAAATCAGAAATGCCTTCCTCCACATAATTTAGATCTTGTCAATTTTTACATCCAATATAATAGTTACATTTTTCACAAAGAAAATTGAAATTGCATAATTTACATTATTCTTTGTGGCCAAGAGCAAAAACGAAATTTGCATTTGTTGGTGGAATTTTATTGGGTCACCAGGCAAATCAGGCTTCAGTGGGGACAAAACGAGTCCATATTTGGACCCAAAGAACCCACAAAAAAACACCCAAAACATATCCAAGCCCATGAAAAATCCCCTACCACCTTCCTGCATAACACATATACAATATATTGCTACTATGATGTTTTGTGCTAAAAAACCAAAGACATGTTCTTTTGATATGACACGAGTATATTGTTATTGTAGCATCTCGTATAAAATAAAAAACACACATGAATTTTTTCCACGTGGCATTGTTAAAGTTGACACAAAACGAGACGGTGCGGTATATCCCCGTTGTTCTTCTCTCACTAGTGACAAGTAGCCAAGTAGCCAATTATCCAGGTCTCTCCGGAACGCCACGTTCGAGAGACGACACAAGAATTCGTTACCAAACTCCATACACAGGCCACCTTTCCCCTCTCTCTCTCTCTCTCTCTCTCTCTCTCTCCTCCCCGTCGCTCCTCCTCTCTCCCTTTCCTATTTATTTCTCCTCCTGCGCCTGAAATTTCAGTTCTTCCCTTCCTATCAGTGCTTCACTTCACAAGAATCCCAGAGAGAGAGGGACACTTGAAAAATGGGGGATGAAAGGGGTTCCTTACACGTGTCAGACAGCAACGGTCTTGATCATCGTGAGATCGATGATCAGAGCCGTACGCTGGACATATACCCTCTCAGCAGCTACTACTTCGCTTCCAAGGAAGCCATTCCTGTCAAGGTCGAAGCTCCGGCCGATCGTCTTCACAGATTAAAGTCCAAGTACTTAACTTTTTTTTTCTTGGGTTTTTATTTATTTATTTGTGTATTTTCAATTGGGTTTCCTTATTTTCATCAGTTTTTGCTTAAAAAAATCAGAAATATTAATTTTGGTTTTGTGCTTGTTGAAATATAGTTATGCTGCTTATGGATTGAGGACTTGTGTGGAAGCGGTTATTCTGGTTGGTTTTCTTTGTTCTTATCAAGCAACATGTTTTATTATTTATTTATTTTTATTCGAGCGATATTCTAATTAATCTAATGTAAATTACGGGGCGAGGGATTTCGATATCGCAAATGTGAGTAAATTTGATATTGCCTTCACCATAATTCAGGTTGAGTTGTTCAAACATCCTCATGTGCTGCTCTTGCAAATAAGAAACTGCATTTTTAAGCTGCCCGGGGGCCGCCTAAGACCCGGCGAATCAGGTGAATTTAACTCGTCAGTTTCGTCGAAATAAGGACTTGAAAATGTTGTGAGGTTTTACTGAAATGGAAGTTGTTTGAACTCGCAGAGATCGACGGATTGAAACGTAAGCTGTCGAGGAAGCTATGTATCAATGCTGATGGTGATGGGATTCCTTGGGAGGTATGGAACATGGAAATATGTTGTTTTGTTTTCGGGTGGTATTCATGTTGAAAACTTGTTGGTGTAAATTGTTTCAATGTTTAGGTTGGGGAATGTCTTGGGGCATGGTGGAGGCACGACTTCGAATCATTGCTCTGCCGGGACTTGCCAACCAGAGTTGAAAGCCCAAAGGTAACGCGCTCGGTCTCCTTCTAACATGTGCTAGTTAACAGTGAACTGAATAATCGACGTGGCAACCAATCTGTTAAGATCATAATAATTGATGTATAGCGGGGTGCTAGGATCAGTTGGCAACGCGCTGGTGCTGATTTGGCTGTGCCTTGTGGCTAGGATCTGCCCGCCTGGGTGTGCAACTGATCGTAGCACTCCCTTGATGTATAATATTGGGAATGAAGTATTGTACTATGTCATCGACTCATCAGTTAATGTGTTTGCCCTCCCAACAAGGCTGCTTCATCTGGATGCCAAGAAGCGTGATTTCTTATGTTTATGTCATTATGTAGGAGTGCACAAAACTCTACATTGTGCAGTTACCAGATTGTCGGAAGTTCATTGCGCCAAAAAACCAAAAACTGCTTGCTATTCCCTTGTGCCAGATCGCCAAAAACAACGAGGTAAATGAATCTTAAAATTTGTGTCCGTACATGTTTGTAAGCGTTTGAACATGTGATGGGAGATTGAATTAGTCTTATTGTGTTCCACAGACGTATGGACCTATAATATCAGGTGTTCCAGAGATGCTATCAAAGTTTACCATCAACATTGTAGAAGATTAAAACCAATTTGATCGCCGTTGTAGAATATGCCGTGTGGTTTGCAGATGAGGATTAGCAGTAAAAATGTGCTTTGGGGCAAGTTGTTCCTTGGCAGCTATCTCTCTGTAAATTTTGACAACCGTTTGTGTAATGTACATAGCGTGTAGATTTTGTGTGTAGATTTCTTTTGTAACTTCTATGTCCGACGCTATAGTTTTCAATAAGGTCGGAACATGGCTACAATGTCAGCTCTCTTAGAGAATTAAAAGAAAAAACTGTTTATGGAAGTCCGAAGTCGAAAAATGAAGGTTACATCTTCACTGAACTTAAAATTCATGACTACTCAATTGCACTCTGCCCTGGTGCTTTTATGATGCAGTTTTCCCTCATCAAATCTCTAACTTTCTCAACTTCGTCCCACCTGCCTTCTTCTGCATAAATATTTGACAGCAACACATAATTACCTGAATTCCATGGTTCGATATTGATAAGCTCTTTAGCTGCGAGTTCCGCGAGCTCTACTTCACCGTGACTAGAGCAAGCACCTAGCAGTGCACCCCATAAAGCAGCATTCGGTTTCGTAGGCATACTCTTAATCAGGTCATGAGCCTCCCTCACCTGTCCGCTTCGCCCGAGAACATCAACCATACATCCATAATGCTCTAGTTTTGGCTCAATTTGGTGAGTCTCAATCATTGAAGCAAACAAATCCTTTCCCTTTTCCACCAAGCCTGCATGAGCACAACATGTTAAAACCCCAACAAATGTTGCATCATTAGGTCTCTCGCCCTTGCTTATCATCTTCTCGAACAAGCTGATCCCAAGTTCACCTTTCCCATTAAAAGCATATCCCGAAATCAGAGTGTTCAAGGAAACAACGTTTTTGCAAGGCATTTGGTCGAAAACACTACAAGCAGCATCCAAGTCTCCACATTTAAAATAAAAGTTTATAAGTGAATTCCCTACAGATACAACTTCTTGCAGAAGTCCTTTAGAATCCGTATAAGAGTGTATCCATTTCCCAACTTCAACAGCTTCCAAATGAGCACACGCAGGCAAAACCGAAACCACAGTCACTTCATCTGGTTCAAAACTCTGATCAAGCATCTCACGAAAAAGTTCCAAAGCCTCACTATCTCGCCCACTATGCGCTAAGCAAGAAATCATCGAGTTCCAAGAAACAACATTCCGTTCACCCATCTGCTTAAACAAACACAATCCCTTATCGACATCACCTGTCTTGCAAAACCCACGAACCATCAAATTCCAAACGATGATATCTCTCTGAGACAAAGCATCAAACACCTTCTCAGCATCCCCCATTCTCCCACAAGTTACATAAAGCTCAATAACTCCAATCCTAATCGAACTAAACCATTCAAACCCAACTCTTAGAATCTGTCCATGGACGCACTGGCCTAGTCTGTAATCGCAAATGTTCGAGCATGACTTGAGCAACGGCGCGTAAGTGTACTCGTCGGGGCGGATCATCTGGTATTTCATGAGAGAGAAAATGTATAGGGATTGTTCGAAGGGTTTGCAGAGTGAGAATCCTTTGACCATGGAATTGAAGAGGAGGATGTTGGGGTTGTGGGTTTGATTGAAAATGCGATTTGCGTAGCTCATTTTGTTGAGTGACCAACAAACGGAGACGAAGTGGGCGAGGACTTGATTGACTTGGCCAAGGCCATGGCGGAGGAGGTGGGCGTGGATTTGGCGGAGATGGGTTCGGGTTTTGTGGCCATGGAGGAGGCGGAGGACTCGCTGCTCCGCCTCACGGCATGCTCTGCTCATGGTTGTAGAGTGGAGCTCAGGATTACCGGAGTGGGTGAAGGTCGAGAAGATGGGGAGTTGGCGGGAACGGTAGTTAAACGGTCACTGTAATTTAAAGGGTAATGAAGTTCTTTACCACTACTCAAAATGACGTAGTATATGAAATAGGCTTTTTAGTCAATATTGTTTTTGAGATTTACATAACTCATAACTTTAATCCTTGAGATTCAAAATCACCATCGATCATTTTGGTATTTATGTTAAAAAGCTTCGTTAAGTTAAGGGTATTTTTGTAAAATTAAGTTCTCCACTTCCTTTTTCACCCTTTTTCTCTCATCTCTCTCATCTTTTCTACCAAAGTTCTCATGTCTCTCGTCAATTCATCCTCGTGGGTTGATAGAGAAAAGGGAAAAAGTGATTAGGGTTTCTGAATTGGGGGTTTGGGTGACATAGAATCAATTTGAGTAGAATCAAGATTGAAAATCAGAAATCGGTACGAAATCTTTTCGAATTGATGAATTGCGAGGCAGTGAAGTTGACTGCCACATGGCAGACCATTTTCGCAGATTTGGGAAGGCTCCCAAATATAGTGGTTGGTGTGCATGTTTACTGCTATCTTGTGGTGTGGAATAGTTTAAAGGTTTTGGCATCGAATAAGAGTAGGAAATATAAGAGGAAGTAGGGTCCTCTGGTTTTTGACATCTAACCTTTTTGCAACATTTTCTTCCTTTTGACAAGCTTATTGATTGAGTGCTTTCCATTCACATTTAATAAGCCTATTTTTTTGTTGAAGTTGTGCCTTCCATTCACATTCATAGTTGGAAAGAAACACCGAGGTATAATCTGTTTTGTGTTGTATTTTTTTTTTTTAATTGTAGATTTTGATAATGAAAGTGAAGTCCATTAAATTGGTTGATATTGTAGGTGGGGAGGGGCAGGGCATGGGAAGAGGGAGAGGCATAGTATCTAGCTCACAACCCACTCCACAAGTTCAAATGGTACATTCAGTAGCCCTTTAGTTTTTCTATTGTTTATTCTTTTCCTTTTTTTTTTCAACAATAACTTATGTAAATTGTGATAAAAGGAGTACGATTTGGATTTTATAGGGCGACTAAGTGTAAGGTATTATCATTTGGTTTTCAACAGGTACAAAATTGCATTGGTGTCACTTCCCAAGTAGTGCCACCACAATCACAACCTACCAACAAACGATACAAATCACCGGCAAAGAGAGGCAAGTCCTGGAAGCCTTGAGCATGGAGGGAGTTTGTAGTTTGGATATCATTATACAAATGGAAGAAAACGAGCTGCAACCATTTATTTTCTTCTTCTTTTTGAATTAGAACAGTTGGATATTGATTTTGTAGTTGAATATTTAGAGTTTGATATTGTTGTTAAACATGTGGGATATTGTTTTTTGATGTTGAACATTTGAACATACTTTGCTTTGGGATATTTTGCAAGTTACAATGCTAATCATGTTGAAAATTTCATATAATGGAACATGGTATTTCTTTTTTGTTGATTCTATTGATTTAGCCTTGTCTATGGATATACCATAGTTTGAACCATTCATTTCATTATATTCAAGTGTGCAAACTGTACAGTTTTTTTTCCAAAAATTCATGAAAGGGAAAAAGTCAAGTACCGTTTGCAATGATTTATTTGAGTTTGATGCCAAATCGTTTTTAATAATAGTTGAAGAGTTGATATCACTGCCAAAATTAGCAACATAGGGCTTTTTTATTTTTTATTTTTTTTTTTATAGAAATGAGAGAAAAAGGGTGAAAAAGCGTGTGGAGAATTTGATTTGACAAAAATACTCTCCATTTAACGGAGTTTTTTAACCTAAAGACCAAAATGATGAATGGTGGACAATCTCATAGACCACTTATATTGATTTTAAATCTCAAGGACCAAAGTTATGCGTTATGCAAATCTTATGGACCATTTTGGTTAAAAAGCCTAAGAAATAAGACTACGGGAATCTCTGTAAAAGAGGTGACAAATTAACTCATTGGGTTGATACGGGTATCATTAGAGCAACTCCACTCTTTAAAAAATAAGTTGGCCCAAAGTCCATTTAATCCACCCAAATGAATAGTAATTGACTGTAATGAACAGTAATTGACCAAGTGCATTTCCACACCTAAAAAAATGAGCTGGCAACAATTTAGTTATTTTGTATTAAATTTTTTTACAAAATAATAATTTTTTAAAAAAAAATTCATATAGGATTTTTAACCAATCTTGTCACACCACGTGTCATTATCCAAAAGTATAATGTGGAAGATGACGGTTAGGTATTTATAGAAATGTAGGGTAAGGTAGAAGATGATGGTTAGGTATTTATAGAAAAAATAATAATTTTTCGTTTTAATTTTTTCTGTATTTTTAAACAATTTTTATTAAGTAATTAATATGGACCGTTGGATTTCTAAAAGATTGAAATCCAATAGCCCAAAAGTGGACACGTGGTCAACGATAAGATTTCTGACATTTTTTAAAATGTTTTTTGGATGAAAAACCTGGATGGTTGATCTGGAAATCGAATGGTCCTGATTTCGCCATGTCATTGGCCGTTATATTTTGAATTCAAATTTTTTTGACCGTTGGAAATTCAACAGTCCAGAAAATTAGCCATTGGAAATCCAACAGCCAGCACCGCGCCACGTGACCCAAGTCTGACGTCCAGTTAGTGTGCCTACAACGTGGGCCCCCCTTTGCGAGCTGTCAGGAACGCGTGTGTGTTTCCCACGCTTCAGCCACAAAAAAAACTCGGCCTGCGGCTGACGTTAGATGGGCTGGGCTGGGGTGGACTTTGGGCCAACCTATTGGGCAAGGTGGAGTGGGTTTTTAATTAGGGGACTAGGCTGTTTTGGGGGACTTTGGACCAACCTATTTGGATGGGGTGGAGTTGCTCTTAAGACCCATTTAATTCGATTTCACCTTATACCATCATCACTACTACTAATCTCATCTCTAGATTGGGTAATACCAAATTAAACAGGTCTTAACGGTTATCTACCCAATAGGTTGATTCGCCACCTTTGAAGATTGAAAAGCTAAATATGCGATGAGATATGTAGATTCCTTAAAAACCTAACCCATGGCAAAACACTTAAGTTTCATGAGCATCACCATTCTCTTCAAAAAGGCATGTCATAAGGCAATTCGTAAAGCTGTATCCTTGATACTCGATTCGCATGCTTTTTATTTTGATCTTCGATTCATTCTGTCATTTGATATATATCAAAACAACGACAACATCTCATATTCCTCTAGCACAGTCTTCTGTACCGTAGTCAAACTACCATTCAACATCCAAATTATGGTATATGTATGATCGAGTTTAATTTATTATAGTATAATACGACGTACCAAACGAGTCATAACTTGGTGAAGTTCATCATCTTTTGCATCTAGTGCCCTCATAGTTTCTCTTCTATTTATACACATGACATGATCTTCTTTGTTGATAACATATACCAATCATTATCTTCTTGTGCCGAAATATCTTTTTATCCTTATCCAAAAAAAAAGAAAAAAGGACGGTGACAACTAAAACGGTGTCCTGTACTGTCTTCTATGGTAAACACTAACAGAAAATAAAAAGTAAGGCACACAAAGACAAGACATCAATTTTCCTATGTGCCACGGTTAATGCTGAATCCTGTTAGCTACAATCGTCGTTTATGCATGCATGAATAGTATTTACATTTGTTGATGTGTTGATTATACGTGCTTAGATAGTAAATTATACTGTTTTAAAGACAGTTCACTATTTCAATTAATCTTTAAACGTTTAAAAAGTAAGAACTAATGTCTAAACTTGCTTTAGACGTCTAGGCTCTAGGTCCCCGCATGCCTACCAACTATCACCTAACGCCTTTTGGAGTCTTAATATTTGTTAGACAAATTGTGAAGGCTGCCTATGCATGAAAGTTAGTTAGAATTTGTTAACGACAATCATTCAAGCACCCTTAAATAGTTAATTACACTGTTAACGAGTTGTGAAACCTACTTCCGTCAACAACATATAATTATTTACATGCGCTAGTTGTAGATGAAAATGGTACGTTGCTGTGAGTTGGTGACGATATATTTGTGTCATGAATGACATACTAATCCTACATAATTTAGCAAAATCGAAGCTGTGAGAGTGATTGGAAGTCGTAGAGTATATGGATCCCGTTTGTATTTGTGGCCTCACGATTAACCAACTAACAAGCAACTATTCAAAGCAAAGTGTGAACCAAAAGATCTGTCAACAATTTTCAAGCCCATTTTCAAGCAGTCAATCATGTGAATTAGTGCGTCTAAATTTTATGTATAACCTCATTTCACACTTCACACGTGCCTTGACTTTTCCTTTTCCTTTTTCATCTTTTCAATAAAATAGATATTATGCAACCTCTTCGTTGAGATGAAAAGATTTTTCAGTGTATTCGAAACAGGAAGTGTTACGCAAAATGTTATTATATAAGTGGTGGAATACTTAAAAAATAAAACTTGCATTCACTTTTATAATGACCTGCAGTACACCATTTCGTATTTCAAGCGCATTGAAATTTTTCCAATAGAAATGGCTTATTAGACCAGAGCAGTGTTCATGTCTCATGTACGTAATTTGAGTTCGTACACTTAATTTTGTTTATGTAATTTATATTCTAATTTAAGCTGTAAAAAAAAAAAAAAATTGAATTGCTTGACAAGAATTATATAAATTATTGTATTTATTATTTTGACTATTGTTCAAGTGTTTACAATTTTTTTTTTTTTTGTCAATGTTCAAGAGTTCAGATTAGTCATATGAATACATAACATGTGGTACAATTGTATAAGATCGAGTTTCAAACTTTCCGTCTTATAAAAATCAGGAGCATCTAACCCGTGCACTCCAACTTTCAGTTTCCTTCCTCTACCTCTGTATATCATGCGTACAAGAAAAATACATTCAAGTCAAAATCAAGAATTTAACAATTGAAGGTAGAAACTTACGTTGTTTTTTTATTTTTGTATATATCAATATTCTTACGCTAGGAAAAAGGAGAATGAACAACCTAATTTTGTATCAAATTCGTCATCTATGATATTTGAACCTAAGACAATTCACTTTCAAATGAAGAAGAATATTAACAGAATGTGGTACTAAGTGGCAAAAACTCACGTTTTAATCTAGAAAAAAAAAAAAAGGGGTTGAAGCGTATTAACAAAAAGTTGACGGTTCCATCTTCTTCCCCACCCATTTTGCAAAGGTTGTTTTGAGTGGGACGAGTCTCCGCCAACCTTCCAAAATTTCCCAACCAAAAGTGGAAGCTGGAAACACAGCACTATTACTAGTCCAAGTGGGGACCCACCTTATTTCCTTAATTACATATTAGTTAAATAAAACATTTTGTCGACATTCTGTAAATTCCAAGAGACTGACTTCAACTCAGAGACTGTGAAGACCAAACGCAGAAGCACCAGAAGAAGTGCTTCGAAGAAGAACAATAAGCAAAAACAAGAAAAGCTCACATAGTCATGAAGACAGGAAGCTTAGGACCCAACCTCAAGCTCACTCTCCCTCCTCCTGATGAAGTTTTCATCTCGAAGTTCTTGTAACTCTCTCTCTCTCTCTCTCTCTCTCTCTCTCTCTCTCTAGATATGTGTGTGTATACGTGTATATATACATATGTATATTACGAGTTTTGTGGTATGGCAGGACTCAAAGCGGCACGTTTAAGGATGGCGATCTCCTGGTTAATAAACAAGGGGTTCGGATCGTTTCTCATAGAGAAGTTGAATTTGTAAGATTTTTCTCAGAAGATTTCTGTTCAATTTTGTGAAATGTAAAGATTGAATCTTTGAAGTGAATTGGGTTAAATTTTGCCAATTTGGTGAGCATTGTTGTGATTAGAAAATGGGGTTTGCTTATTACTCAAGGTTATGCACTGTGATGTTGTGAATATATAAGAAAGAAAGGTTTTTGATGTGTTTTTGTTTTGGTTGTGAATGTGAATGCAAATGCTCAGCCGCCACCTATTCAAGCATCAGACAACCAGATGATTTTAGCCGACCTCGATGCGATTAAAGTTATTGGCAAGGGAAATGGTGGGGTTGTGCAATTGGTTCAGCACAAATGGACTCACCAGTTTTTTGCATTAAAGGTATGGCGGAAGGCCCATAATTTTCATATTATTTGTTCATGTTTTCCCAAGTCGAGTAACTCCTTGTGTAGCGTAGAAGGTTGGGCTCGTTTTTTGGAGGTATGATCAATACCGTGTTGTGCCTTAGCACCATTTTAATTTTCCAAATATTTGTGTGCGCTGTCTGTTGTGAGGATGTGCGACTCTTTGTGAGGATGTGAAGGTAAACGAGTCACACATCGGTGAAAGGAGAAACCTTGCAAGGTATTATAAGAGTTTGGGCTAACCTCAACTTTCTTCATGTGTTAGCCTAAAGATGGATTTCCAAAAGTTATGCTGTAAGCTGCAATCGTGTTTGAATCTTGAGATGAGTAAAGTCGAGTAGTAGAGGTCTCTTGATGAGCTATTTCAAAATTCTTACTATTTCAGGAACTTCTTTGAGTTAAGATTCCTTAATTATAAACACCACTCCTTACATGTTTGAAATTCACACTGTTAGAATTATCTTCAGGCTTTTGTAGATTGTAGAGATATCCACCGATATGCCTTCGATTGGATATTTCTGCATATCGTGTTGTTTGCTTTATGTTGTCCTTGCGTTATCCCAATTTCAGGTAATTCAGATGAACATTGAAGAGTCTATCCGCAAGCAGATTGTACAGGAATTGAAAATTAATCAATCATCACAATGTCCAAACATTGTTGTATGTTACCAGTCCTTCTACGATAATGGTACCATTTCAATCATCCTAGAGTACATGGATGGTGGGTCTTTGGCAAATCTTCTGAAGAAGGTCAAAACGATTCCAGAGTTTTATCTTGCTGCCATTTGTAAGCAGGCAAGTTACTTCACCTTGATGTATGAGACCTGAAACTCTCTGCCTTTCGTACTTTGATAAATACTAATTATAACGTGTTGTTTTCTCCATTTCTTGTTGATGCAGGTGCTGCAGGGTTTGTGCTATCTTCATCATGAAAAGCACATCATCCATCGGGACTTCAAACCTTCCAATTTGTTAATCAATCATAGAGGAGAAGTTAAGATAACGGACTTTGGTGTGAGTGCAATAAAGGCAAGCACGTCCGAACAGGCAAATACTTTCATTGGCACATACAACTATATGTCGGTGAGTAACTTACTTATTATTGTATACAAGCATCATGTTTTCTTGTTCAGGGCTCTTGAGGTGCAGGCACTAACTGTTTCTGTTAAAATTTGTTTTGCAGCCAGAGAGAATCGCTTGTCGCAGTTATAGCTACAAAAGTGACATTTGGAGCCTGGGGTTAGTACTGCTCGAGTGTGCAACAGGTCAATTCCCATATGTACCACCTGATCAAAGTGAAGCATGGTTTAACTTTTTTGAGCTTATGAGTGCCATCGTTGACGGACCAGCACCTTGTGCCCCTTCCGATCAATTTTCTCTGGAGTTCTGCTCATTTATTTCTGCATGGTAAAGCTTAATTTTTCCGCTCGTATTAAGTTTGTGATATTCTAAAATTAAATATTTTATGTTATTTCTCACTTGTAATTTTTGGTTAACGATTCTCACTTGTAAAATACTAGTCCTCATCTTCCTATCCAATGGTTTACGCCTGTAATAGCAATTTTGAACCAACTGTATTCTCTAAGGTTGTATTAGTTAAATTTCATTTGCCATTTGTTATTTTTCGGTCATTTCTGTCCATCCCCAAAAGGACTGAACCATCGAACCACAAGAAACTTGGGTTTCCTTCGAATTCTCTTTGCGTGATTGAGTTTCTGCTCATTGCGTTGTCTGTTGATGAAGTTGCTGTTTTAACTTTGTTGATGTTCATTTATTTTTTTCCCGTTTATCTCGAATGTTTATCCTTTTATGTTCTTGCTCTTTGAGGTTACTAACCCTACCTTGGGGATCTTTTCTTTATCTCAGTGTACAGAAAGATCCGAAGGATAGACCGTCAGCTCAAGATCTCCTGGTACGGCCCATGAAACCCTTTGTCCCAGTTTCTTCTTCCTTGTACAAGTTTGCTGGATTTTGTGGATACCTTCAATCTGATTTGGTCTTTGTCTTTTGGTCTCATTTCAGAGACATCCTTTCATCAGCATGTACGATGACTTGCATATTGACCTTTCCTCTTACTTCGCTGAAGCAGGATCTCCCCTTGCAACATTTTAAAACTAGCTGGTATATTCACATCTGTATTTCGGTCCACATCTTGGATTCACTATTGAAACTGAAATTCGAAAATTCATTGCTTTTCTTTATTAGTGTAATTTGGTCTCGTGGATGAAGACAGTTGCGGAAATGAAGAATCACTGCTATGGCATGTCCTCGATAGTATTTTTTGGTTCTACAGAATTTCTTTTTGTATGGTGGATGAAAATTAAGCTTCTTTTCTTTGTTATGCCGTTTTCTGTTCAAATATTTATACTGTACTCATTTTTTTCTTGAAACTCCTTTACGTGAGATGTTTGAAGTTTCGTCTTGCTTACCAAGATTGAATTAGAACTGTAATCTAATGTATGCCTAGAGACCTTGTTCAACAAAAGATTGGATCGTAGAATGAGTCGTACTTTTTCCTGAAGTACTGGAAATGCTTCTTGTAACTTGTAAGTGACTGGTTTCTCCTCCTTGATAAGTCGATTCGACTGTACACTCCTATACCCAATTGTTGTATCAGCACACCAATGAAAGAAGTACACTTTGCATTCAACGCTGGAAAGCGAGCAACTTTCCATAAATTTGAGGTTTATGATTGTTGGGGGAAATTTGTTTGTTGTTCGTCAAATGCACTTGGAAATCTGTTCATCTGTCTAGTGTCGAAAGCATTTGTTCGTCTTTTACGATTGCAAATTCATTCATCTGTGTTATGTAATTTGCCTTCTGTGCAAGTAATTTCTTATGGATTGTGGTTTATGCGGTCGGATTGTTGGAGAGATTATCAAACAAGAAGGAAAGGAACATAGAAAAACACCATTGTAATTCCTTGGATTTGGGTGTTCATGTACAAATTAATAATATAGTAAGAACAACGCAAAGGAGGGCGAAAGAATTCTTAAACGCTATAGTTGTGGAGAGATTTTTCGCCATGATTGTCACATCGTCACGTGATTTTATCAACCTATCATTCACACAATTAACCACGTGGTGTGACGGTCACGCAAAAAATTTCTACGTGTCATCCAACCCAGGTGAAAAACTTAGGGTTGCGTCATTTTGGTGATTAAGATAAAATCTCTGATTACCAATTTTAATTCTAATTAGGGTTTTTTCTTAAACTTCCTTGTGGATTTCAAGTCTACTACTATAACAGTGATGTTGTCTTTGCTCCCCTTCTGCATGGCAAGCCTTGAGAGATAGTCTGCTGCAGATTGAGCAGCAGGATCAGCTCCCTCGCCCCGTTCCGTTGACATGGTATCGCCGTACTTCTTGTGCCACAGAAGGATCCGCCTTCGTGCAATGTCGCAGGCCTCCTGGTTTGTGATGAAATCCCACAACCCGTCGCTGGCAAGAATTAAGCACTCGTCTTCCTTTTCTCGAGAAACAAACACTACTTCTGGATCCGGTATAATCCACGGTTTCAAATATCGGTCCCCTGATTAGATTGAACATCTCCATCAGCATGAATAAAATCAAACTCAGACCATACATACAAGCACAAGATGAGTTTCCAAGGTTTGTACCAATGGATCTTGACGTTGCAAGAACACCGAAAACACGTGAACCATTCCACTGTATGACCTTGCCTCCTGCAGCCTCTATCCTTGCATATTCATCTTCTCTATCTGGCTAAAACCAGAACAAAACCTATTCAGTCTGTAAACTTAGGCACGAGCGGGATGATATATACGCGGTTGTACTTGAGATTTTGCGAGATGCGAAATGGATGAAATAATGGAAAACTACAAAAATTAAAGGCCTTACCTTGTGATCTACTGACAAAGGCACAGAAACTTTCCCTCTACACAATACTGCTCTTGAGTCGCCACAGTTTGCTACGATAATATGCGTTGGACAAATTACGGTGACTACAGCAGTTGATCCGGCGGTTTCAGGAGCCATAGGTTGGAGAAGGCCTCCTGGAGCTCCCCCAGAAGAAGCATCAGGTCTGCTGTCATACGTGCCTCTTGGAGCTCCTCCAATCTCAGCATCCACTTTAAAGAAACTATTCGAGAAGGCCTCCTTCCACCTTTCCGGCCAACCCTCCTCCCCATTGCTTCTGCCGCGTAAGCCTGTTTTCACAATTTCTAGCTCTTCGGCCAGTGCAGAGTGCAGGCGTTCGCGACAATAATTAGCAACCTGCAGAATTGAGAGAATCCAAGTTGAGTAATTCGACACGAGAAGTTCTTTGATCAATGCAAAAATGGAAATTCTATAGGAAAAAAATTCGAATTTCAGTTAAGCTATCATACCTGCCAACCTCCATGTCCATCATAAACACCAAAAAAATGGGCGGTTAAGTCATTTGGGCCTTGATTCATGCCATTCAAGACACTGTCATCCATTAGCATTTGAACCGGAACCTGCGAAAATTGCGGCACAACTGCAACGTCATCTTCCATCTCCGGTCTCCTTCCAATGATAGACGTGGAACCCCAAAGGGGTACGCGATCCAAATCGAAAACTCTCTGACTGCAGCTTGTTCCGCACATTTTCTTATCCCCACTGGCCGGAAAAAGCGAGGTGGACGCATCACAAGTACTCGATCCATCGCCAACGCGGTCACACGTTGGCCTAAACTTACTATATTTCGGACTTTCCCGATTCACGACTTCCGCTCCCCGGTTTTCGTCATGAGGACTATTGAAGAACAAAGGTGACGCGTTTGCTATTAGCTTGAGGCCAGTAATTTCCATCTGGGATTTTACTGCCGAATCCTCATGGATCAAACTGCCTAGCCTATATGGAACAGCAACTGCCTGAGCTAAATCCTCCATAGATTTAACCTTCACCTTCCAAACCCAACTTACAAAATTACCAGTGTTCAATTACTGCCTTCGGTAAAAATCAAATCTTTTGTGATCTATTTCAAAAACATGAACATTTAGAAATGGGAACTTGAAATTCCACAATATAAATAGAAAAACTTCAGAAAATCCTTTAACTTCTTCAAGTCTCTAGAGAACCAAAACCTTCCTTTTCTAACTTTTTACCGACCCACTGATCTCACAAAAAAAGAAGAAGAAAGCTTTGTCCTATTTCTAGCAAACAAAAGTCAGGAAAAGAAAAAGCCAAAGCAAATACAGAAAACCCCAGAAAGGAAAATGATTGAAAACTTCAGTTCCCTGGATCAAAGGCAACTCATATCAGCCTCTTGAAACTTGGATTTTCAATCTCTTGTGGAACTTTCATGTATATCTCAACCAAACCAACTTCAACTAACTTAAATCAAAAGCGGATGAAAAAGTTAAGCTGAGTCACCCAGCTACTTTACCTCATAACCCTCTCAACTATTAATTCTCACCTCGGCACATAAGTGATTAAGAACGTTTATTCTTGCACCGAACAATTTTGGAAACATATCAGAAAATAGTAGACACAAGAAACAAAGGTGTTTGATGGTGAGTTTGCTCACTCAACTATATTATTCTCCGCTTTGTAATCACTTGTAGCTTAAGCGATTAAGAGCGTTTAATTTGCCGAACGGTTCTGGAAACAGATCAGAAAACAGTATGACAGAAGATACAAAATGTGTTCTGAGGGGTTTGCCCAGAGTTTTCAAAACTGTGCATGCAGATTTTAGGTGGGAAGGGAAGAACAAGGAGAAAGTGGCTAAACGAAGAAGAAGCGTAAAGGGACGGTGTGCAAATGCATTGATGCAAGGTCTTGGATTTATATATAAATAACTTGAAAAATTATATTAAAAAAATGTTGGTAAAATTTGGAAAAGAGATACAAACACGTGTTCATGATATGTCAAAGAAGGGAATTAAACGAAGCAAGGCATCTATTAGTTACACACCCACGTAATCAATTTAATAAATAAAATAATATAAAATTGTCAAATAAATAAATACGTGGGCCTAAAATATCCCAAGGTTTAAGAATCATATCTTTAAAATGGTGATTTGTAAGACTACTTACCTAATAATTCATTATTATTAAATAGAGCAAACCATACAAGACCATCCCAAAGAATTCTTTTAAGCATATAACTATTTTGTTTGGAATTAGTTGGTTGAGCTCTTGAATTGAGTGGATCTTTTAATCATATTAAACTTTTTTCTTGCATAAGAGGAAGAGTTCCTTGTTTTAATAAAATGGTAGGCGAGATTTGAACAAATGCTCTCTTGCAACATTTGGAAGATTTGAAGTCACATGACAAGATTGAGTTTGTAACATCAACAAATTAAGGGCTAATTTGGTGAGATGGATATGGGTGGGCCTTAGAGATATGATTTGATTGTCAGATATTTGTAAGACATGACTTATAATCCATATATAAGAATAAGTTAGATAACTCACTCTATTGTAGACTCATAACTCATCATCTCCAATCATGTCCATGTCACATTTAACACAACAAACAACAGATTAGACTCAAGTCCATTTTAATTGGTCATAACATATCTCATTCAGCCTACTAAACGAGGCCTAATAGGAAACTACCACAACTCTTTTCTTCTGGGTTGGAAGAGATGTTGGTCGATCATTCCCTTTCTTGCATATCACAGTTCAACACATGCATAAATAACTTATCAAAAACACGAAAAAATGTATTTTTACACACAACTCAAACTGTTATCGACTTGTAAGTAAGAATGACTACTTCCAAAAAAAAAAAAAAATCTAAAGCGTAGAGGATATAAAAGGTTCGAAATTTCACCACTTTGATATTTAAAAAATAAAGAAAAATAAGACCGACTCATCTACCCTCGTACTTTTTTTTATTAACAAACGAAGACTCTCACATGTACCTTATATTGTTTTAAATAGTCGACAAAGAGTGTAGGTTTTCTTGGAGGCATAAAACTAAACAACCCCATAGAACTTGGTACACAATATTTAAATGGAATTGGGATTAAAAATTAAGCACTATGGGATGACACAATTATTAGGACGAACCATGCGTATGTATTTTACATGTTGTTTTTTAATTCAATTATCAACGTTGATAAATTACTTTATAGTTATTAGAAAGAGATTGAAATGTTTCTGTGTATCTTTATGCCTTCGAAAAAATAAATTATCGTTGCTTTGCTCTGAACCCCATTTTTTTTTTTTTTTTTTTTTTAAATTGTGATTAAAAATTAAATATCCATTTTTCCATTTCATTTCCATGCAAGTGCGACCACGAATCCTGTCACGTCATGGCTCTGAAATTCTGGGTAACGATTTGGCGGGGGAAGGTTACGTGGCGGATTACGAGTGCACTGTTATGTTGGGGGAGATGTACCAAATTCTTCTTCTCTCTCCTACTTTCTCTCTCTACATTTTTTGGGACAGACAGGTGGATTCATTCATTCACGCACTCGTATCTCAAACTGCGTGTTGTGTGACCGCCTTTTCATTGGACAACACAAACACACAGAAAAGCAACCGATATTGCCGCGAATTTCGTGCCAAAGAAAAAGTTTGACACAACCACTCTCTGGTTCGCCGACACGTGGTATCCAATCATGGTGCGGTCAACCGGGAGTTGGAACCGACACGCAAGCACCACAAGCACTTTTAGTTTACTTGGTAATCTGTCTCACTGTTTTCAAGCTTTTAGAAACTCCGATTCCGTGGACTAATGTTGGTTTGTTTTTTGGATAGAACACTGCAAATGGGAGACGCATTTGGTGAGGTGTGTTCTAGAAGTGATTGATTTGACCAGTGCGATTCCAACTACCCACAAATACTTGGTACGTAGGTTTTAGGTGTCTCGCCGAGAGACATCTTCATGTTGTGCGAGCATAACACTTGTTAAGTGACATGATATAGGATAACACCAAGTGTTATGGTCACATGGAATAGACCCAAATCTTTGACGGAAGAAGTTTTCTTGCAACCAATGCACCAACTAAATAACATTACTCGTCTAATACACATTTAAGATGTGTTCAAAATGTGAGCAACCCGTCCAACACGCATTTGCCATATGATGAAATGATGAGAACAAAAAATCTCTAAAACTCCAAAATGAAAAAGCAACATGAGTCTCGTACTTGGGTCCCGATCACCAAAAACTTGAGCCATGAAAGATTCTATTGAAAGAAAGATGGGTTGTCAAGAACTTAGAGGAGGTAGAATGGACCACTTGATCAGATTTAGTATGGATCGTACATGGACGATAATTGGAGTCAGTGGCTCTTCTAGGATTTCCTCATTTGGAATCCCTAGGAGAAGAGGATCCTAAGCCCCAATTTCCTCACCAGAACGATAAATTTGGGCCACCACCAAGGCCCGAGGCCAGCTATATTGGCCCATGGCCCCGACAGGGCAGAGCAAGGGTGGCCGGACCTAAGAGGCCAGCAACACTAGCTAGCGAATACTTCTCCCCACATAGACGCCATCACATTTAAGCTTGAATTTGACTATGGAGGTAGCCTTTGCCAGAAGAACTCGAGAAGGAAACATAATTTACCTAGCCACATGCATACCAAGTAAAACTTTCGGTTTCGGGATAGAACGATAGGGTTGAACTCAGAAATTAAAGAAGTGCCTTCGGCAATTGGAACAGGATAACTAATGGTAAAATACAACGAGTTAGGAGTATGAAACTGCTAAAAACAAGACACCGTGGAGGCCGAAACACATAAGCGAAGTGTCACCTACAAATCCATCTACTGACAACATCTCCAAAGGAGATGTCAAATTCAAAACATCAAATTGAAATTTGATGGCTGACTTGCCAATTTGATATATTGTCAATTTTTTCCTTCTATCCGATATGCCAAAATTTATTGCTTCATTTATGTTTTTTTTTAACAAAAATAATAAATGTTGAATTGTTGGCCCTTCACCACAGTGGTAGAATGGTTTTGAGCTCTTGCATGACGGCATGCGTTCAAATCTCATCAGTGGCTAATCTAACATCTAATCTAATCTAACAAAATCTATTATTTGACAAAAAAATAATAATAATAATAATAATAATAAATACTTAAATATGTGAGCATTTAAGGTAAGACAAGTGGAATGCCAATGGAAATAACAAAAATCAAATTTGAAGACAGCTTCAATTAAATATCTTTTTGTCCATGTCAGTTTAGCCTTCTTTTCCATGTCATCTTTAACATCTCGGTTGAAATAAATAATACATCATTTGTTACTGTTGTATGTCTATGCGGCATTTTTGACATCTCCAAAGATGGTCTAAACAAGTGCAGATTAGGCTGCATGCTCCGTACCTAACACATTTCTGGTCATCCTATGTTTTATAAGGGGGAAAACAACGGGGCTGCAGCTCGAGGACATATATGTAAGATGGGTACAAGATATGATCCACCTTGCAAATGAAACTAAGGCAACAAATCAACATGATTTTGAAACCACGAGCTGGTGGCCCAGTGGTAAAGGACGGATTACAAGGCTTTCTTAAAACAAAAAACTGGAGTCTCAGGTTTGAGACCCGCTACCGATGTGGAAGCCAAACTTGTGGTCAGGGAAAGGCTAAAATGTCTTTGTGAGTCTTTCCAATTCCCGGAAGGGGTGGATAACCGTGGCTTGCCGCTAGTTGTCAATCTTTTTTATAGAAAAAATAATCAACATGATTCAGGAAACAGAAAATACATCAGTCAAACCCGGGAACAACGTCTAAATTAAAAAATGTTCAATATCCTTGTAAGTTTCTACTATTCCTCTTTTAACAAGTTAATTACTAACTACATAAACGAAACACAACAAAAGATTGGACAACGGAAGCATTGGGAGACAATTGAACACAAGCTTGCCATATACATCCGTGATCTAAATTAAACTCTAAAATTGGGTTTTGAATTCCTGAATTCACTGACAATAATCGAATACGTAGGGAATGAACTAAACACAAGGTATAAACACATTTCAAGTTTCAAACTAAATAAAACCAGAATCAAGTAAGCGCAAGACATAACATAAGCCCGGAGGAGTGAGCGAAGCATCAAATTTGAGATGATAAAGCAATAAACCTCAAACAAGATGAACATCAATGCAGTGCAAAAGCAATGAAACCAAAGGTTCAAACTCAAGATTCAAAACAAATTCATACCAAGGTTCGGGAGTAGCTATAGGCTTAGGAGTAAAGACTTACCTTGGCGGTCTGAAATCAAGGTCCACAAAAAGCACTCTGAAGTTCATCTGTGCATAACATTCCAGGTACGGTATATCATATCAGAAAAGTACCGAGTCTAATAAATTGAAATCTACAGCAACTGATGTCTGATAACAAGCAAAACTATAATGGGGAAGGAAATTTTCTTACCATCAGTAAGCCTCATCAGTATACACACCGAAAGTAATCAAGTGTGGCGGAAGCTGAGTTGGAGAAGACCAAAACCTCAAAGGAGCATTCTCTGAAGATATCTGTAGAACAATAAAAAACCAATAGAGATAGAGAAGGCAAAACCTCAAATAATGAGTTTGCCTGCTAGAGAATAATACATATAAATTAAGAGCTGATTTTTATTAGGAATATAAAATGTATGTACAAGAGGGCGTCGTTCTCTGATTTGTAAACGCTACAGGCAGGATACACTGTTTGCTAAGATATAATCACTAAGCCATACTAACTAGTGCCTTGAACAAAAAGATCTTTACAGTCAAAGTAACCAACTTAATACAGGAGCAAAATCCAAAACATCCGAAAGGTTCACTCAAAATTTAACTTGCAGGAGCCTACGAAAGAATCTATATAA